TCAGCCAAGCCAGAACGATGGTGGAGTCAGTCCAAGCGTGTATCTGCGATGCAGGAATAGGTAGAATGCCCGAGACCTCAGACAAGAGCCTTGCAACCAACACTGCTCCGCAAAGCTCCAGGCGAGGAATGGATATTTGCTTGATAGGAGATACCTTAGTACGAGCCGTAATTAGACTTACCCTAACGTTGCCATAATGATCAGTCGCGCGAAGGTAGACTACCGCTGAGTATGCGTCATTGGATGCGTCGGAAAACCCGTGCAGCTCAAGGTAAGTTGTATCCTTACTCTTATTGACCCACCTGGGCACCGTGACTTGGTTGAGAGCAGGTAAGTTGTCGCGAAATGAAATCCACTCATCCAGCAGGTTCGACGTAACTTCATAGTTTCTGCATGTATATTTTTGCCTGTATTATTACAGGTGCAGTGCACCCTAAAGGATCAAATAAGCGTGATATATCGGACAAAATTACCCGTTTGGTGATTGGCAGCTTCTGGGGAGGTAAGTTCACAGTATATTTGAAGGAATCAGATTGAATATTCCAGTTGAGTCCTAAAATCTTAACAGTATCATCAATTTTAATANCGTACTACCTGGAGCCACTGCGGTCATCCACAGTGCGTTTCCAGAGATCTTTCTTGCCACGTACCATCCGGCTATGGAATGAGCTCCCCTCCACGGTGTTTCCCGAGCGCTATGACATGTCCTTCTTCAAACGAGGCTTGTGGAGAGTATTAAGCGGTAGGCAGCGGCTTGGCTCTGCCCCTGGCATTGCTGAAGTCCATGGGCAACGGTAACCACTCACCATCAGGTGGGCCGTATGCTCGTCTGCCTCCAAGGGCAATAAAAAAAAAAATCAGATTAGGAATATTTGTGATTTTTATTTATTTTTCGTACTATCAAGATGAGTGAATATAATGAAAAAATTAGATACATTTTAAAATTTTACTACAAAAAAGGTAAAAACGCAACGCAAGCCCCGAAAAAAAATTGCAATGTTTATGGACCTAGTGCAGTGTCTGTGAGAGTAGCACAAATTTTGTTTAAGCGCTTTCAATCCGGAAATTTTAATGTCTAAGATGTACGTCGCTCTGGTCGCCCTATTAAGGATAAAATGGATGCCATTTTTGAAAAAGTGGAGCAAAATCGGCATGTCAATAGTTACGACGTAGTTGAAGAACTGGGAATTGATCACAAAACAGTTTTGGCGCATTTGAAAAAAACTGGGTACACAAAAAGCTCGATATTTGGGTACCTCAGGAGCGCACTGAAAGGAACCAATGAACCGTGTACTCATTTGTGATTCTATATTACGACGTAATGAAACCGAACCATTTTTGAAGAAGCTAATAACTGGTGATGAAAAGTGGATCACGTACGACAAAAACATGCGAAAAAGGTCGTGGTCAAAGGCGGGTCAGGCTTCACAGACTGTGGCGAAACCCGGGTTAACTTGCAACAAGGTGATGCTGTGTGTGTGGTGGGATTGGAAGGGCATCATTCATTATGAGCTGCTGCCACCCGGCATGACCATCGATTCTGAACTCTACTGTGAACAACTGATGAGATAAAGCAAGAAGACGAGAGAAAGCGGCCGGAATTAAGCAACAGAAGGGGTATGGTTTTTCATCATGATAACGCTAGTAGACTTCACACACCTTTAGTCACTCAGCAAAAATTAAGAGAGCTTGACTGGGAGGTGTTAATGCATCCGCCGTATAGTCCTGACCTTGCACCTTCAGATTTCCACTTGTTTCGGTCTCTTCAGAATTCTTTAGGCAGTGTCACGAGAGGACTGCCAAAAGCAATTGTCGCGGTATTTTGATCAGAAGCTCCAAAATTTCTATAACAATGTGATCATGTCCTACCTACAAGACGGCAAAAAGTTATCGAACAAAATGGTACCTACATACTTTAAATGTAAATAAACTATATTAAAAAAGTTCTGAATTATCTTAAAAATGCGAAGAAACTTTTTTCCCAACCTATTATTTCATAATTACAATGTCCTTTTGCGCATCGGGTAAGCCGTTCACGATGCCCAAACGTACGAAATAATGACATGCTTTTTGGAGTTTTGTTGTCAGTGCCAAGCAAGCCTGATTACACATGAATCTCGTTTAGACACAGAGACTGAAGAACTCGACTACAAAGTTATTCGTTGTTTGTTCTTAGGCCAGTGCTCTGCACCAACACATAGCTACCACCCACTCGACCCTGACACTCGAGATCGTCCAAATTTTTTTAAAACTCTAGGCAGTAAACTTTTGAGCACCACGAATCATTTCGCCGTGAAAGACAAATTTACCAAAGCGATAAAAATCCGTAAAATGAGTTATAAACCTAATTAGAGTCACGAGATTTATCCGACTCGCTTAGTCCAGATGTCATAATAGCTCTATGACGACTTTTTGTCTCTTGGATATTGTGTACTTAGATAAAAATCTTCCAATATTATGCGAAAAAAAAATGTGATTTTAAGAACATACAATGGACTTATATAGTCGGTTTTTCATATTTGCATTTACTTATTTTAATTTGTTATATTATTTTTATTTAAAATCCCAAGTTATATTGTATCCACACAAAGTAATTTTAATGTATATGGTTTTATATATTTACTTAATATTAATGAAACGAAATGGATACATAAATTAAGTAAAATTATATTTTTGTTTTCAAATTTATAAGTTCTCTGTTTTCTGTTTATAATTCTCCGATGCTATAATTTTGACTGTCCCGTTTTTGTGAGTCGTAAACATAACAAAAACTGCTTTTACGAATTATTCTCGCCTTTACTGTTCACACGACAACGTAAACACTAAAAGGTGCCGAACGTCAGAAAGTACAAAATGAACATTAGAAGGACGAGAAAATTAAAGCGTAAAGGCGATTTAAATAATGTTGTTATTGTTGCGGGAAAATGATCGTGATAATTATAATATATGAGTATATATCGCAATATCTGTCGATAAAACTGAATGTATAATATGAATAAGTATTATTTAAATTTCCATATTATTAATGTTGTGGGACGTACAAAAAAGGACATTAATTTTGTATTTTCAATAAAGTATTTATATGAAATGTTTTTTGTTTGTTTGAAAGCGTCTAATTTAAATGAGAATTTTGCGGTTTAGCTTCAGTTTCGATCGGAGCTTCAGGGTAATAACTTACAGGGTAGTAACTAAGATATGTACATCTATGCTAATAAAAATAATTCTCAGATTTCTTTACTTAAGTCATTTTAAACGATTAGATCCATTTAATTAAAAAATTATGTATCTAAATTTACAACTGTGTAATTATTGAAGTTAAACTTCTAATGTGACTTCCAACAAGGTTGAGTTAAACGTTTCACGCTACCATGGAATAGAAAGAGACAGAGTAACAGAGTAACAAGTAACAGACGAGAGTAAATGCGTAGCACTCACACGTATGTGCGTAGTATACCTGTTACAGGCCAGCGCGAGCGCTAGCTACGAGTAGAGTCCAATATTATAATGAAGTATCTAAAAAAATATAGATATTTATTTTTCTATCTATCATTTAAAATATATATAATATTAATGTTGAAGATGTCGCATCTCATAAACACAGCATTCCCTATTACAAGAGCAATCTGATTGAAGGATGAAAAGTGAAGAAAACCACAATACTACACATCGAAAAAGAAGTTTCACTTCATTCACGTGCGCACCGGTTTTTTTTCCTCCATTCCTTTGAAGACCAAATCTCAGTTCTATAAAGCTTACTCAATTTCGCTAAGCTTAACTAACTTAGCTTGCCTTTCAAGCGTCGCAACGTAAAAATGACTTAAAATTTAATAACTACGAAAGTACCCAAATAATTATAATTGCATCAAAACAGTTTTTTTTTTATTGCTTCGATGGGTGGACGAGCTCACAGCCCACCTGGTGTTAAGTAGTTACCGGAGCCCATAGACATCTACAACGTAAATGCGCCACCCACCTTGAGATATAAGTTCTAAGGTCTGAAGTATAGTTACAATATAGTACGCAGTTGTATGCAGGCAAGGTGCCTGTGTTCCACGTGCATGTTGGTGTGGCAAATTCATTAGATTGCTCAGTACCTAGCTGTAGTTCCATGCGGAACGGTAGCACGAGAAGTTTAACTTCAGAGAGAGCAGGAGAGGAGGTCGATACATTCAGAATTATAACAGCTGAGAGTTCCATGCGGAACGGTAGCACGAGAAGCTCAACTTCAGAGCGAGCAGGATAGGGGGTCGATAGATTCAGAATGATAACAGTTGAGAGTTCCTGCTCAGAAGGCTTACCGCAATATCTGGTTACTGGTAGTTAACTTGTTAAATCTTCCCCTATATTCGAATGAACGACTGCTGTACCTATCTCCGCCTAAGAAATTATCCCAGATCTAGTCTCGGATCCGCTTTTATAATCTTCTACCCCTCCACTAGGTTGAATCTCTTTGAGTAGTCAGGTAGGTACCAATATAATGTTCTCTGTCTGTCTGCCATGTTTTTACACTCATGACGTCCAAATCTGGACGACATTCGACATCGAAATACTTTGAGAAATTATACAGGTTACTTCATCCTACTTTTGAGCGCGGTTATTCAACCAACGTATATATAAAGCAGTACACGCGAGCGAATCTGCAGGTAAAAAGCTAGTTCTTAATTTACGGAATATATAAAATTTGTAATCCATTTCAGTCAATATTTAAATGGAATCCACTTTACGTGCGGTAGTGTCATTGATGAGACAAATCAAAATCAAATTAACTATTACAGTTATAATAATTCCGAAACTTGTTACTTATTCAAATTTTAGAAAACTTGTCGATCTTGAGGTGCGTTATCTGCCTGTTACACCATTACCATTTTGCTTACTAACAGTGCGAAGAAATTATCACTTCCGATTTATTGTTAAATTATTAGCTAGAAAAACAATACTTATTGTAATACAATCCAAATAACGTAAAAGTAATAATTCGTAGTTAATTTACAGACATAAATATGGGATTTTTCGGCGATTTGATTGCAAAGCTTGAGGTTATGTCGATTACACCAATAACGGAGCTGTTACAAGCCGTTTTTGCTATACTGGCAACACTAAACCTGAAAATAGGAGGATATCCGGAGCAAACCGTTTTGCAAAGTAAGTGGCTATTCCAATATTCAACTATAGGTACATAGGTATGTATGTATATATCAAGAACGAGCAAGGGAACTATTAACAACGGTGCATTAATAACAGCATTTTTTTTTATTGCTTAAATCGGTGGACGAGCTCACAGCCCACAGTGTTAAGTCGTTACTGGCCCATAGACATCTACGACGTAAATGCGCCACCCACCTTGAGATATAAGTTCTAAGGTCTAAGTATAGTTACAACGGCTGCCCCATCCTTCAAACCGAAACGCATTACTGCTTCACGGCAGAAATACTTCAGAAATTGAATAACAAAATAGCTTTTTATAGAGTTCAAATATCGGAGGTTATACAGCAAAGGTTTACCAAAAATATGTACAAAACGAAGGAAAATACCTCCTTCGTATCTTTTTAAAATTGGTAACTTAGCTTTTCAGGATAAAACGGTAAGTTTGTAAATGGTATTTTCTTCGATTTCCACGTGTCATGGACATAATTGAAAGTTGTTATTGTTTAAGTTGCGGAACAGATGGCCGTTGGGGCCAGAAGGTTCTTGAGTGGCGACCGCGTACTGGGAGACGTAGCGTGGGTAGGCCTCCCACAAGGTGGGCCGACGACCTTTTGAGGTTCGCGGGGATCCGCTGGATGCAGGGAGCGCAGGACCGGTCTTTGTGGCGAGGCTTGGGGGAGGCCTATGTCCAGCAGTGGACGTCCATGGGCTGATAGAATAGAATAGAAATTGTTTAAGTTGTTATTCGTCGTCATTTAGATATTGTACTAACTACCCTCTATTTTACTAAAATATATAAATATTTCTAGACTTTTAATTACTGACTTTTTACTATATGGATAACTCGCGACCGACTTGGTCGTATTTTTGGAATCAAAGTCCATAGACGACAAAACTTACAGCTTACTTGAGACACGGTTTTTTTTTTATGATTGAGGGATTATTGGTGGCCCGGAGGCCTTTCCAGTTTCACCAGGACAGGTGGGCGAGCAAAGGCTCAGCCAGGAGGGGTGGGATTTGCTACAGCTACCCGAGCGCCTCCGAACGAGACCTAACAACTCAAGAGTAGCTGCTTCGCGAATGAATCTACTACCGGATCGGAATCGCGGCCCGCTGAGAAGATTCGGCGAGAAACTCAGCGAGCTGATTCATGGGTTAGGTTGCACGGCGAACTCTTTGTCGAGTTCGACGAGTACGGTTACCGAGGTCCCTAAGCCTGCTCCTAGAGCTGAAGGCGTCTAGTGCAAAGGTTATTGGATCTGATGGATCCGTAAGGACGTGTCTAGGGCGTCGACGGTGACTGGCTCCTGCATGATCAGGATTCGGGGAGTAGTCAGCGGCGGCTACGATAAGGCGATTATCATGACGCATAGCCTTATCGAAGTACCGTTCCGACGCTGACTTCATGTATTTCTGTATAGATTCGAGGCCCAGGTC